GTACAAGTTCACCACCTGGACTGGCTCAATGTCAATGCCACGAAATTCTCTCGCTCTTCGCAATACGGCCGAGAAAAAGCATAGCTTCGGGCGAACGAGTCTCCGAACGCGGGGATGGATGCGATCCTTCTCCTTATACCCCTCGCTCGATTACACCCGTTCGCCGCCACCGCTCGAACTCCCCGCTCTCAACGAATACAATTATCAAATCACTGATGCTGTCAACCCATCCGGCATTTTGATGGCTGAAAGGGATCGGAAATCGACGCTGCTCCACCATGGTCTCCATCATCATCATCATCATAGCAATGACTCTCGCCATCATCATCATCGTCATGGTCGCGGTAGCAAAGTCCGAGAGGAAGTTCGCGTGAGTCTGGCAATCAAGCGTTTCCGGTGCGCAAGACTCCGAATCCTTCGATGGATATGCGGACCGAGGTTTATGGAGATTTTCATTACCAGCACCAAACGAAGAAGAAGCAGTTGCTCCCCACTGCCTTTCTGCTTGCCTGAGATCTCCAGAGATGGACGACGGAGCTCGTCAGTGCTGTGCCTCGCTAGTTGGGCGCGTGATCCGGTGGCTGACATAATATGAGTATGCCTTGCGGCCCTATTCAATCGCGAACTCTAGACACAAACACTGAGTGAGAGAGAAAGCACGGAATTCGGTCCCGCATTCATGATGAGATGGGGGATCGACATGGAGCGATTCTCGTCGCATCTCCACCCGATCGTCTATCCTTCACGATTCATGTGTTCTGTAAAACCAACCGAGCGAGTCGAGAGCATTTGGAGCATGAATGCCGAGCTTGGGGTTCCAAGGCTAGAATGCAGGGCTGTCCTCGGAGGGGATATACATACCTACTCCGCTTGTTGTGTTTCATGGAATTCGCATTTCAAACTCGTTGGACATCAAGGCTCGCTCTCGGGCCCAGTTGAGGAGGTGAGAGGCGAAGTGCGAATCGTCTGACCAGCCGAGCCGCGAGAGCCCCGCGACCTTCTTGGCTATTCTGAATTGCCTCCGTACCGACAACTACAAGTATGGAAGCTGCGCCTCTTCGTGAAATATTGATTCACAGACACTGTGTGGAAGAGTAGGTAGTCAGAGACACTACGGGAGTACTTCTCATGGGGACCGGCATCAGGAGAACAGCACGCACGACTCAGGCATGGCAGGCCTGCATTACTCACGCGTATAAAACCACGCGGACTGGGAATCGAAGGAATTCAATAGCGGATCACTTCCCGTGTGAAAGCGAACAATTTCCTTAAAGTCCTCGGAGAGTATGCTAAGACGCTAGTCGCTCGCTTATTCCTCCGCGGAGGCGACGAGCGGAGGCTCTCCCGGAGAAAATCTTCATCGCGAATGTACCTACTTACCTACTGTTGGATGTTCTCTCTCGTTTGTAGGTCCTGACTCCTTGCCGCCACCCCGTTCCTTACCTGCACCGCCGAGAAAGGTCTACGACAACGGCTATGTTCAATAAAACCAAAACTTTTCGGGAGAACGAGTAGACTCGGTCATAGTGGCAAAGCGACTAGCTCGTTGGCAGCACGGGTGACTCGTTGACTTCGCCTCTGCCGCGCCGTTTCCTCACAATGGGAATAATTCACGTGTCGCGGTTACTGCGCAGTCTTCGTGGTTCGTCTCTTCCCCCGACTTTACCGGTCGCGAGCACCCCGACCGCCGCAAGCTCTTGTGAGTCCTGCAGTTGTTCAAGGAGTCATTGTCACACACAGAAAAGACATGATTAAGGAGAAAAAATGAGACGAAAAAGATTACAGAGAAAAATCGAGCGCCGCTCTCGGAACGGGGGCGGGATTTTTATTCGAAGCTTTTGGTAAACGGTGCCAATTCGCTCGTCCAAGGAGAGCGAACAGCCTCTGAGGAGAAAAACTCAAATAAATGAGTAGATGAATGACTCGCTTTGATTTTTAAGCGAGTTTTTCCCCCTGGTGGAGCGCGGGCCCCCAGTGCCGTTCCCGAGCCCCCGGATTCGCTGCCCAAATCTTGCGGTTGCTTTTTTTACCCTATCCACCTTCTGCGCTTTCATAGCGATTGTTTCGAACGACATTCGGCATTTTCCTTGAAGTATCGGCTTTCCTTGTGCTTTTCCGAGACTCTCCGAGACTTGAGGGAGCATTTTCCCCGCATGTCGACCTATCGGATCTATCCACCGACTTGAGGAGGCTTCTTCTCTGATTTTTCATAATTTCGATCCCATCGGAATCTCGGCTGGCACAGCCTGAGGAATACATATACATTCAGGAATACGGACAGAGGTATACAGATTTCGCGAGGCCTGGAAGATTCACGAAAAATCTGCCGAGGTTTGGGAACGGTGGGCAAGCCCATAACTTGTTAGAGATGGTGCGGTCATCAACTAGATATCATCGAGTTCGTCGCTAGAGATCGTAGCTTATCTACTTTTCTCTTTGGATTTCGAGTCAAGCAGCGATTTCCGAATTGAGGGTAAATTTCTCCTCGGTGACGTTGAAATCTGGTCCAACTTCTGGAGGTTCGGACGCTCTCGACTTCCAATCCTCAAATCGGCACCATTCTGTATTGTGGAGATAATACATACAAACCTCGATCCGTCGTCAACGGAGATTCTCCATATCGTAGACCTGCGGTTGACCGTTTCTAATATAAGGGAAGTCTCTAGTGCACAAAGCAGGCTCTAGGCTTGGGTCGCAGATTACTCCGATCCCGCTGCGACATTTCATTGTCTCGTTGTTGCCGCCCAATGTTTCGGTGCTGTCTCCTTCCGATAAAGTCTCCGTCGCTGAGCTCATTTACAAGTCACGTACCCCCGGTTTAACGGTCTCTCAAGACGATCATGCTTGGTGACGAGCTTGCTCGAAACTCACGGTCCCTCTCGTCCTGAAGTTTGTTCCGGCTGATTTGTTCGGGAGGGGGGTTCGCTCTCTCTCCGTACGTCGGCACCACTTCATGAGATGGAAACAGCTTCGCGCCGGTGAACGCGAGAACTGGAGATTGGAGAAAAAAGACTGGCGAAGAAGAGGAGGAGAGGGAACAATGTGCAAAATAACAGTAACGGTGGCAGACGGGTTAGTCCATTAAGACGGCGGCTTAATTTTTCTTGATTAGTCGCGCGACTAAGAGAAAGAAATGGACGAGGACGAAAGACCCGGGGAGAGGAAGAAGTTCATAGTCACTTGCTTCCTCGTCGTCTCGTGCCCCGAATCTCCGTCAAACTGGTTACTCACACGGCTTCCAGGGGTCGCTTTGACAGACTGAATGCTCCTCCTGAACGGAAAGGCTGCGAAACCTTTTCCGGTGACTGATGACCATGATGATGACGACGGCGGCGGCGGCAACGAACTCTCGCTCACGAGTGTCAGATAGAGCTTCCAGTCCGCAGTTTCTTAGGCTCTCCATCTCACGACTGCTCTTTCGTCCAAACGATTCCAACTTATTCGTACGCAACTCGTATAATTTCTTGGCCTCGTACTCGACCATTCGGCTAAGATTGGACTATTGCATCCAGCAGAACCTTTGCCCCAATCGGAGAGTGTTCAATGAAGGGGGGATTTTTCTTTAAATTCTTCTCTCTTTATTATCGAAGGTCTTTGAGGCTGTCCCGACTGAGTGGCGCTTTGGTTCATTCTTCTAGTCTCTCCTTCCCTGAACGTTCCAACCAGACTCAATGAGAACGAACATTGAGTTTCATTGACGCTGGCGAGCTCCTTTCCATCGTTCGCTCAATGGGTGCAGAATCTCATAGAAGATCTTCCAACAATAGACCATCGAGAATGCTTAGCATACCTATCTTTGGCAAGGAACAAATATACAAATGCAGCTAATTCATGATTTCAGAAACGTTCGAGGTATCGAAAAAAATCAATAAATGTCTTAGATCTCGAATTTTTTCATGTTCTGACAGCTCGTATTAAAGTCAATCTTCCTCAAGCCAGTCGATGAGCCGATTTCTTCATGCATCTCGGAAGAAACCGCAGTTCGTTTCGACTCTTTCCCTTATAATTATAGGTGTTGGGCATCCACCGACACCAACTGCAGCTTTCATTTCTGTCTTTTTATTCAGTCATGCGTATCGTTATAATCGTCTTCGTTGTGATTTCAACAATGGCGTCGGTTCATGAGGATGGATCGTTAGCCATATCACAAGCGTATCACAGGGATAGCGAACTATATCGGGGAGAGAGATATCGAGAGTAGGGATTGCATTCAGATAAGACGAGGTTATGTACATACATCGCCAATCAGTCGAAATCAGTCGCATGGAGAACATATCGTCGACCTCAATCGTTTCTGCGAACAGTTCTCAAGAAGACAATGTGTACCGCGGAAAGAGTATCTCTCTGATTTATAATGATGCTCTTCAATCGGTATTCGAATTCCAAGTTAGTGGGATTCGGACACGGATTCATTGTCGATCGTCTACGCGAGGGACACAAACTGTCCTTGAAAACTGCTCCAGCACTCGATGATTGGTATGTATCGTGAAGTTTACGTAGAGGGTCTGTACATGACTTAGAAAGCAACTGACGGTCACGGTGCTCCGAGGCTCCGGTCGCTCCGGACCTCGCGCCATCGTTGCAGGAGCACCGAACACTTTTGACGGGGAACCGTCCAACTTCGGTCACCTGACTTGATTCTTTGTATAGCGTTGAGCCGACTCTCTCTATACGCGCTTAGACGTAGAATTCAGTGATTTTCAATTTCCGACCGCCCACCAGAAAACTGTCACATTCATCATGACATTTCTCCGTCCGTTGCCATCGGTTGACAAAAGGAGCGGCGAACCCGTCACACCTGTCATATGGGTTTGCAGATTTGATCAGGAATTCTCTCGTTTCCTCGGTTTCGATTTACATCGGGGAGGAAAGTTTCGATCGAATCGAACCACAATCGAACAACGTGGGACGATCCAAACCAGAAATCAATAATTGAAAGAGTGATGGGACTTCGATTTTCGGAGAAAATCGATTGAAGCAGGCTCACTCGCTCCTCAGCCTCACACTGAGCGTGATACAACAGCCACGTACAGAAGGACGATTGTCAACGCGACGCAATGGACCGGTCGAGAGCCGGAGGAATGCGGACTACTCACAAAGTTGTAGTAGGCGGCTGCGAGAAAACCAAGAATCCGATTTTCGTGATTCTGTAGAGGGAGAGCCGAATCCGACGCCGAAGACAGAAGATGTCCCCGCTTCATCAGTACCCGGGTGGTGACATCCATGAATTCCATGATCTCTGTCGACACACAGCGGATCTTGAGGTCCTGACCCTTGCTGAAGCCCTGGATTAAGGGGTCGGCCGAGTTGAGCGGGAACCTGAGCTCGTGGAAGTTCTGGGTGACATTGTTTTCTTGACGCTGGTAAGATTTGATCATTCGCGGCGAAGTGACTTCCTTGTCGTTGATGAGCCACATCGTCTTGACGGGCGTTCGGTTGGGATCCCCGTGCTGGGACGGTTTGCAGGTCAATTTCACGTGCGAGTTCAGACGACTGTATTCTTTCTGAGAGCCCGAGATTTGCGGCCCGTCCATTCGGCCGGATATCTCCACTTGCTGTCCTTTGTTCATGATTTTGATCTCTTCGCTACTGACGTTGAACTCCACTTTGATGAGTGATTTGCAATCGAGTTTCAGGGCTTCTTTCCAGAAATGACTCTCTGTGACGGTGAAGCTCAACACTTTGGTCACCATCGACCGGCCATCAGCGTCGAATGAGTTCGATACCAACGTGTGCTCGGCTTGGTTGGGCATCTGTAAGGAAGAATTCTCATATGGTATTCTGGGCTTTCCGCCGCGCCGACCCAATCTCGCCAGTCGAGTCTTCGGAGGAATCGTGGGACAAGTTTACCTTCATATCATTTATGTACAGCTCGAGATCAGCGTGGGGTTTGCTGGGTCCATAGCTGCAGGTGACGTTCACGAAGTCCCCCACCTCGTAGCTGCGGTGTTCGGACACTCCTGACACGACAAGTCCATTGGGAGGGAGCACTGTATCAAGAGGAGAAAAAATACGGTCAGAGGGAGAGCGACGGCCATCATCCACCAATGATCTTCACAACGACGACAGGCAGACAGCTCCGACAGTGTTTCGCTCCTCTCGGCGGAAAACCAAGGTATAATAATTCGACTCGCCCATCAATTAGAAAGCGGCTTGCTCGTCTAAGCTTTCAATGGACGGCTGAGGCACTTCTTCGACCGGCAATTCGTTTCTCTTGACGTCGTTTCTGCGAGAGGGACAATGACAACATCCACGCGCAGGATTAGGATGACCACCAGGAGCACAACAGGTAAATTTGTCGGAAAAAGCCACTTACGGGGCTGGATGGCCACGAAAAATAGTTCCTGGGGGAGCCGGTGCGATCATTAAAGAGAGGACCGAGCCAGCCTGTGAGCAAGCATGCGAGGGAGAGCGAGCGAGCACACATAGCAAAATAGCAATTCATTACGATGGACGCGCTTATAATGAAGAGGTAGACTAATAGGATATGCCGCTGCTCCTACTGCCTGTAACATTCTGGGTTGGGTGTCTAGGCGGATTGTATGAAGGCACAATATTGGGCTCTTCGAAAAAGTGCTCTCTGGTCGCGAATCCGGACGAATATCCATACGCGATACATTTAGCTGAGCATCCGCCGCCGCCGCCCAGAAATGAATGGAAACACGGGTTTTACTCCTTGGGAATCGGAGCATCTGAAGCTGCAAGGCCGAAAGTAAACACGCAAACAAACAAACGAATGGAGCAGGGAACGATACGACGGAGCAACGAACGGAACGAGCGACATTAAAAACGAACGTTCCTGAAATTGTGTTTCCGATGCGAACTACGTGAAGACGGTCGAGAACACGGGGGAATTTCCAACTGTTTGTGAACAATTTACACGAGCAGTGAACTCAGAAGTACTCTATGGTTGCGCGAGGAGCTTCAATGCATATAAAAGTGTTTGTGTGTAGACATCCTTGTTTCCGCAGCAGCAGCGGCGGCGCTTAAACGAGTGAGTCGTAGGTTTGCTGTCGTTGTCGTGGTTGAGGCTGCCGTAGGCGGCTTCCCGGGTCTTTGTAATTGCGTTTTGATTTTTTTCGTGTACTCGTCGTTGTTTGACTTCTTCTCGCGGAGATCAGGTCTACGCATGAATTTTGAAGTAGATAAAACAAGCCATCGACCATGGCGGTATCTGTCGCCTCGCGCTGCCAGAATAGCGTTTTTGGATGGAGCTGCTGCTGCTGCTGCGCGCGAGAAAGATCCGCCTTTCGGAAAAGCAGAACTACGTCAAGCGTCCCGAGCGTCGAGCGGTTTACCAAGGTCCATGAATAATCGACGGAGATAGCGGGTCGAGCCGAAGCTGACGAACGAACTTAGTTGGCTCAGAAGTCGACACAGGACACGTGCTACATGGCACCGCTTCTACCAAGCGTTCGACCACAAGTCCGTATGCGAACTAAGCGAACAGTAAAGCGAAGAAATTTGAGAGACTCTCCCGAACTTTCCCCACAGCCTCCGTAGGATATGGGCTCTAAAATACTTTGGCTTGAATTCATACCCGCGACTCCGGGGTAACATGATCTTTCTCAAGAAGCCTGTACGGTCCTCAGAGGAGGGCATAGCGTTGCCCTCAACTCCATCGTATCCGTCGCAAGACTTTCCGTCGCTTCAAGTCTAAAACTCGCTCTCCATCCGCTCTCGAGATTAGACTTCTGATACGGCGCGGATTACGTGATTCGAAGGTCCTCCTCCGGACAAGGACCATTCAAGAAGCTGCATAGAGAGGTGGGAATCGAGCACTTACCGACAACAGTCATGTCCTTGTGTGCACGAGCCGTGCGGAACTTCGGACCGTCTCCGCAGATCTCGCACCTGTAGCGACCTTCTGAGAACCTATCCGTGTGGCTGAGGAAGATGTTCGCGGGATTGGCTCTCGTTTGGTCCAGCTAGAAAAAAAATGTAAGCTGGGGTGAGTGGAAATCTCATAGAACCTAGGTCCGACGCCGTGTCAGTTGACATCTCGATTACGAGAGATATCCGGAGGTGATGTCCGACACTAGGAGAAAATTCCACCCAATCCAGTGACTTCAGCGGGGACGAGTGTTGAAACAATGCACGTATTCAAATTTTTCATTGTGACTTAAACAAAACAATGGATTTCAGCAGTTCCGCTCTGGGATTGGTGGCGTACTGATCCCAATTCTTCATTCCCTTTCGTACTCGCCCCGGCTCGCGCTCCTCCCCTCTCTGTCCAGAGAGTGACACGAGCCATAGGGTGCGGGGCAATGGAATTCGAGAGGGTCGGGTTGGGCTGGGAAAGATTCATCCCGCTGACACCCTCTCAAATATCCTATGAACTGACACCTTTCCTCCACACGAGAAGAAAAAGTAGAGAACAGCGCGCCGCACGAGCACAGGAGTCGCTCGCTCCGTATCGAAGAGTTCTGTAGCCCTCGCTAAGCCCGTGGATCAGAGAAAATAGAACAACGCCTCCTGAAGGGCTGGACTACCGATGAAGATGACCCAGCGCGGCTACGGTGGCGGTTCTCGAGCTCGGAGCTGCCTAGATCCCTGCGACTCAACAGTTCACCTGAGTGAAGGAGCGTTTCAGCCAGCAGCTCGTGAGGAGAAAAAAAACAACGCAACAGGTCCTATTCGCTCCAGCGCTCAAGAGGCGTTCTGGAACGCAGAGAGGCCGAGAGGGGGAACTTCATTTCCCGTCGGACGTCTAAGCGCGTAGCAAAATCCACCTGGGCACACTGACGCGAAAGCGAGCGGCTCAGGACATGGATTCGACCCATTTCGGAAGAAATCAAGCAGGAATCAAGAAGTAATCTAATGGCGGTAATCTCTCAATCGTGATAATCTCTACGGCGAAATTCGAGTCGGAGTTGGTTATTAGATACGCGGAGAGGGGTTGAGTACTCATAGATCGCACGAGAGTGTACAATGGGCTAGTTGTGAGTGTTGAGTCGAGCAATTGTGCATTGTCTGGGTCCCTCGGTGCGCCGATGGCCGTAGGCGGCCCTCGCTTGCGCGGACTGCTACATTGGGAAGGATGACCACTTATAATGGCATCCCGCGAGTAGCTTGTCGGACGAGCTGGGCGCTCGCCGGGTGCCTATCTGCCCGCAAAGCAGCAAGCAAGTCAATCCCGCCCTGGTCAACCCTGCCCTGCCTTAGGCCTAATAGCGTTGCTTATCAGCCTAATTAATGTCTGCGGGATTACCCCGAGAGCTGCTGCTGGTGCACCGTAAGTGAAAGTGCAGCTCTATTTGAGCGACTAATTCCTCTTCGAGTTCGCCTTAGCGGACCTCCAGTCGTGTCACTCAATAGAAAGTGTTTCTCGTGTTCTGCCTGTTCTTCCAGAGAGCGACAATACATACACTGAAGTTTATCTTCGGCTTACTAAGAAGTCGTTGGATCAAAATCCAATCACAGCCACTCTCGTGTGGCTTTAGCACGGCCCTGCCTAATAGAATTCGTGCATTCGACCCCGCAGTCGTCGAAAATCGGCCCGCGTGAATGTTTTTCCGGTGGCCTTACGTCATGCCTCATCATGGACAAGCCGTTTTCGTGGAATCCTCGTTAACAAAGCACGTCCGGCATCGGTACTCGATGCCGAGATTTCGGCTCGACGAGGTGAAGGGCATAAGTTTTCGAGAGATACTTACGTCGATATAAACTCCGCTCAAGTTGAAGATTTTGATCCTGGACTGCAACGGTTCCATTGGCATGTAGCCGAGAATTTCGACGTTGTCTTTGTACCACTTCAACGAGTAGAGGTCGTCTTCTCCTTGATCGTAGCTACAATTGAGCCAAGCACTTTCCCCCGCGAGAACGACCGACGGGACCGATAGGTGGGTCAGGCGCAATCCTGCAACAGAAGAAACATTTCATTACGAGGTCAGACTTCTTGTCTCTAAGGTCACCAAATTCGAGACAGCATCGAGAGAGTCTCCGAGAGGAGTATGCGAAATTCCGACCGAATTCGAATGAGAGAATATTTTTCTCCTGTCTAAGTGATTTCGGAGGAGAAGAGACCCGGAGCCGGACCGGGTTCTTCATCCGATGAGCCCCCGCGCGGAACGGCTTTCACACGAGGGTCAACGACTTCCGCCGTTCCTTGGTCGCGTCCTGTGAATTGTGAATCCCGAAAGGGCGCGAGCTATTCGTTGTCCTTTCAGCTATCTCAGTCAGTCAGTGAGGCGGGAATCTCCTTCGGTCTCCGATCCCTCCGATGTGATTTGTCGCCGCCATCTCCGGATCGCGTCGTCTTCGCATTTTTGGGCAGCCGAGTGAATTTACCCAAGACAATTCATCGCGATCAGGAGCCGAGCCTCCCCACCCCGCAGCGAGGAGCGCTCTCTCCTCTTTCTGCGATATGGACGTAATACGAGCATCGTCGATGGGTAGACAAACTTACAGATGGATTGGTGAAGGGGTAGAGATGGATAGAACATAAAAAAGCTCTAAAGCCGGGACACTTTCCAGGACCCCGTTTCGATGAGCTGCCGAGAGATCTAGTCGCGTAGTCGGCTCGCCAATTTCCGTTAACTTGGCTTAGCAGCCCCAGCGAACGAAGGGGCGATGGAGGAGGAGGAGACGACGACGACGACAGGAGCGGGAACCGAAGCCACTACAGTCGACTGCCGTCATGCTTAGGGCAAATACGGTGGCGATGCGGAGGCAATAGCGATACTCTGCCACCGAAGTTGGTGCACAGCAACGCAACGTCAACCGAGAGACTTTATGAAGCATATTAAGTAAGTCGACGGAGGCTACTTCCGGTAGACAGTTCGCGGGCATGGTAGCAGTTGGTTTTTTATGAACAGATAGATAGTGCAGGTCCACGAGAGGATGGCTGACCAAAAAATAGCTCAGCTCACGCAGTAGCTCCCATGGAAGCTCCAGTCGAGCTGAATACGTTCAACAGAGCTGCTCCGTTTTTTTCTTGGCTACAATTGACTCGCGTCGAGCGTATTTGTGCTCGCGCGAGTATCTCGGTCCAGTAGAGGCGATCTGTGCCCCTGACCTCTCTCCTTCTGCTTCTGGCTGATGCGGGGCAAGGGCACAAGATGAGATGCAGATCAAGACGAGATCAGTTGCGGCGGCAACAGCGACGACAGATCAACGGCCGAGACTGATTCTTGGAGATACCTTCTTGTTTTTTTATCCGCTCGTCGGTCCAGTGGTCCTGCTATCCGATCTGTCAATCAGGTTGACGACAGGTGGTAGGTATGCCAATCGGATCGAGCTCAATTATCCGACTCGTGAATGTTTCGACAATTTGTGACAAATATTTTCTCGCGCGGATGTATCATTATGAGCTCATATGGAAATTCGTTTCGAAGAGGTCATGCGGAAAGAATCGCTCTTCCACGCAAACCTGGGCTGATGATCTGATTACAGTGCCGGTCGGTTGGTTGGTTGGTTGGTTGACCAGCGCCCCTCTTTTCTCTCTCAGACCCATAACGAATAAATCTCCTCTCCGACGAAAGACGAAAATCGAACTTCCCCCATAGCAAAAGTCCCCGTTCTCATTTCATTAGTGTTGACATCGTCATCGCCTCCGCCATCATCAACGTCATCGTTCTGCTACTCCCCACTGAGTTATTTCCGCTCACTCGCTCTTCGGCTCAGACTCGCCAAATCTAAAGCGAGGAGGTGGTCGTCGTCTCAACTTCGAGTCGGCTCGTCGACTCGATGCCATCTCTCTTTCCGAATCTAAACTTCGGACGAACATCTGTAGTTTGTCGTTGTCCGAAAACGACGGCGGCTTTTGTCGGGAACCCGGACAGGGTCGAGGGGTCAGAACGCGAGGGGTGGAAATGAGAGACGATTTGTCCAATTCATGAAGAGTCAACTGTGTGAAGAACGGAGGGACAAACCTAATTCGCCTCTGATTCGAGCTCGCAAGGTTCCCTGAGTGGGGGAACCACCGGAAGGCACCGCCGATGACCCGGATAGGAGGAAGGAGGAGAAAGAGAATTTAAGATTGTGTCGGTTGCCACGAATCAGCGTAGCCAATCCGGCTCATCAGCCTTCGACGACGCATCGGGTCTGCTGAAGAGCTCCAGAAGACTCCCAGCCAGTCAGTCGGTCCACGAGTATTCCGTATCCATTCGCGAGCCGAAAGAGACCCTCGGCCCCGCGAGAGGCAACAGGTGTTTCGTCATCACCCCCGCTACAGCGCTTCGAACGTTTTCTTTCCGCCTTTTCTGCGTCGCCCAGCTGCGTGACCGAACAGGTTATTGTGGTGTGTCGGTGCAAATGCCTTCGTGGTGTTTGCACTTCCAGGTGTATTCCGGGCTGTGTCCACGGACGACTAGGTGCGTCTGGGAGGGACCGCGGGAAACAGGAAGACGGGGGTTTTGGCTGCTCACCTTCCTTTTCCGCTTCTCCGCCGCAACAACCGCCCATAACATTCGCCTGCTCTTTGACTCCCGCGCACACTTTTCATTGTCGCTCTTCTACGCGTTCCGTCCGCGATTTTCCCCTTCTTCCCGTTCTCCTCGCTCCGCCATCGCGGAACGCCGCCGCCGCCTTCGCCACCTTTGCCGCTGAAGACCGGCATCGGGGACGGCGGCAGCTGCGTTAGGTGGAGTCACACATTCATTCCGTTTTGTTGGAAACTCAGAGAGATAGCAGCAGCAGATAGCATATAGGGCCACGGACAGACGTGCCGACGAACGGACACACAGACTCACCACAGGATAGATGGGTCGGCCCATCCGTCCATGGGTCGGCGTGCGTTGTGAAGGGAGCCGCCGCCGCGGCTACATATGACAGCTATTCAAAATTTCTCCCTCTCGTCCTCATCTCTTTTTTCGGTTCCCCCGAAACTCCCACTCATTGCCCGCTCCGCCCTGTCCGCTGGCGTCGAGTATGAAACCAACTCCATATAAAACAATTATCCTGTCCAAGTCGTCCCACTCAGACCGACCCCCGCTTTGACTCCCCCGCCCCCTGCTCCCATTCCCATGGAGCGAGCGAGCGAACGGCCGGTCGGCCAAGCAACCAAACGACCGAGCAAGCAAGCGAGCGAGCGAGCGCAAACGAACGATCCACGAACGAACGAAGAAGCGACCATCCGAGCAACCCACCCCGCAGAGCGCAGCTTGACAGCTCGAAGCAAGGAGGAGATAGCAGAGAGGACGTTCGGTACGCTCTGTTCCTCTATCCGTAACATATGAGATCGGCAAAGATCGGCAATTGTCACTTTCTTTGTCTGTTTTATCAGCGTGCCGGGAGGCGCGCTTGTATGTAGTAGGTTTGCCTCATCGTCGGGCAGCGGATCGAACTATTTCACCTTTATTTCGAGAAGCCGCTCGTAAAGATCAGCTGCTCGTCACCGGCAGCAGCACTGACGCGGAGGATATTCGGCGAGGGAGTCTCCGTCGAGAGATCTCCCCCCGACAGAGGGTGTCGACGGATTACGGGCGATCATCGGAAACGCTATTGAAAGTTGCCGGCTTCAGCGGAGGATGTTTGAGTGCGCGCGTTAACCCGCCAGAAGTGGAGGCTCTCCGTGTGAACTGCGCTCGAAACAAGCAGCTCGGCGACCTATTAATCAGCATTACTTAAGGCGCTCGCTCACTCACTCGCTCGCTTATGGCTGGTTCCTTATGTACACGCAAACAGACTTTCAACACATGCATAGCACACGTGCACATCTTCACAAAAGGCTTCGGAGAGTTTTGCTGTCGACAGGCTGAGGGGTCGCATGGGATGAAGGAAGAGAAAAAAAAGACCCCGTTTTCATATTGCTCAAACATCATTCTCTCGCTCCCCGCTGCTTGACATAGATCTTAATTTGAAGTGAATGCCGCCGACCACCAGTTCTTCCTCGCTGCGCACGTCGACTCCCCGCCTGTCGCTGGAACCAACTCTGTCTGTCTGGGACCGGCTGAAACACGAGACTACTACGACGACGCACATGAATGGAACAAAAAAAATGTGCGGGCTACCGGCTGCGGTACGAGACTTATCCCTCGGTGGGGGGAATCGCTGCGAATCGATAGCCTCCCTATATGTATGTGGTTTATGAAAAGCGTGGACCGCTCCCTTTCTCTCCCGAAGCTCTTCGCGAGGGCATCTGCACCCCGAGTCATCGGTCGGAACCCCTGCCGAACAATAGTTCTCTGCACCAAGTCCGGAATCGAGTCGGCGGCCGTCTGCGATATTCTCATCGAACGATCTATGCGTCAGACGCTGCACTGTCGACGCGAAAGATCTTTAAAACGCCTCGCGACAAGGTCAACGCGGGGCGAATGCCGATGTAGGGGAAATGAAGCATCACTTGTGGATTATTTGGGCTCCTTTCAAGCTTCCGTTCCGAGCGCGGTCGATGCTCGGAACTCGGTTCGACCGAATACGGGAATTTCAAGGAAAAACGCATCGTCGAATGTATTACGTATTGCGGCAGCTGGACGATGACGTACCAGAATGACTGACTAATTATTTCGCTTTGAATAATTACAGCTGACTGACTGGTTCCTCCCCGACTCTGCTTCTCGCGCTCGCTCGTGCTCTCGCGCAGCGAAGAACGTGCATGAGGCTGTATCTGAAGTCGACCGAAGTGAAAGCTGAGCTTGTCAAATTAAAAAAATGTTTCCAGCGAAACGACTGCTTGTTCACTTACTCAGAGGCATCACGTATTCCGCGCGTAAGTCTGAAGTTTTTATTTCAGCATTTAGCTTGATACTCTGGTAAGAGAAGCCTTCAACGAGCTTCAAAACTTCATAAATATTATTAACTTTGTGCGGCGGCAGCTGCCGCCGACTGAGGGTTGTACGCATCCGGGTGGGAGAGGGGGATGGGGGGAGTCGAGAGTGAATTTAGGGATAAAAAAATTGAGGATTGAGGCCGCTCTGCAAATTCCATCCCGCCACCCCCTCCCGATGTTGTGTTGTTTAATTTGCAACAGAAGAAGAAGATCTCTTCCATCATCAGGCTCATCATAGCTGTTGCTACTCCATTCGTTTGATAAAAGAAACTTTTAATTTAGCTCACTCTCGGCGCTCGAAACCGCCGAGCGGCGCTCAGAAACGCTTTGCCACCGTCCTCATGGTAGTTCGAACAGGTGAGCTTTTCAGTCGATATGCTGCTTCAATTTAAAGTTGTTGAGCTACGAGTAGATTCCATCGGTCGGAACGATTCGATCGGTGCTCGTTCCATCGATCTGAAGATCGCCCGGAGGAGCCACCCGAGCTTCAGCCAGCGATTCAACCGTCAAACTATTCGCAGCGAACGAGTCAACCGATCTGATGGTGGGCCTGCCTCCCACCGATGCGAGGGTCGTCCCCGAGACCAGTCTCCGACAGGAACTACGATTATGATTATTATTAGTGACGGGTGGCGAGATCATTAATAACCGATTCGTTGTAATCAACAACAACCCTCACCACTGGTCTCACTGGCGGCTCCCATTAAATTTTCAGTTAACTAGCCACCCCGATCTCCGCTCCACTGGTTTCGGTCCGATTCGAGCTCGAAACCTGCTCGCGGGCCAACCTCAAATTACGCAGGGCGACAAAGCTTAAATTCAAACCCGTCCGTCTGGCTGTGTTTGTGTCCACTCGGAGATAAAAACGCGTTGCGACCACCCTTCACCCCCGCTCAAGTATCTCTCAGTTGGCCGCCTTTCAAGCGGCCAGGCAAAGCTTCGGCAAACGGAAGGCCACGCGACGGAAGGGCAGCAGCGTTAATTGCACGCCATACAGCATAGATAGAGAGTAGCGACCAGCAGCGCTAATGGGCTGGAATGCTCGCACACAATTCTACTGGCCAACCGCTCGTTCGGTCCACCGACCAAGGGACGAACTGAGGGCGCGAACCTAACGCGATGCCGTTTTCTCTAGGGGTAAGCGGCATCGCGGGAATGTGAAGGGCTCCGGAACCGATGGAAGCGGATGTAAAACGCGAGGGCTTCATGCTCGAGGGGGAGCATCGGGGAACGATGCCGAGAAATGGGGAGGGACGAAAAGTCCAACGAAAGCCCGAGTGACTGACCCGTTCACCTCATCTAAGCTCATTTGTTCGACCTATTTGTAACCAACGAGCAATGCGGTGCTCAGCCCGCACCGAGAGAGGTTCGAGGCTCGCACTCCATTCAATACCATGCGGTCCAGGTCATCTGTTAAATTTATGGTTCGCTATTTGTCTTCACAGTGACAGTAGACCATGAGCTCTCTACAGTGGGAATTCCTCTGTCCTGTCGTCCGAGATATTTGATTGATGGGGAACTTGATTCTCACCGCAGCTAATTCCGATGCTATAGGGAAGAGAATGCGTTCTAAATAGCTCATTCCCACATAAGAAATTCTCTCTTACAGCCTTATCTTCAAGGCTGACCAGCTCTCAGAGAAATTTTCACCTTTGAACAAATTCAATTCGTAGGATGGGGAAGGGCTCAGATTTTCTCCGAAAGCTGAGTTGGATTAGTCATGTCAGTCTCCGCGAGGATCATGATTACGGTGGAGTCCTCTTCGTTGTCACCCCTCGTTTCCGTAGTCATGAACAATGAATACTCGACGACGTGATCAGAGTTTTATTCGACTGTGGCGTCAGCAGAGATCGACGAGCCGACATACGGGACAGGGAATCTGAATCTAGAGGAACAAAGAAGATTACACACAATAGTTCGTCGGTGGCTCGATCGGCCTATCTCTCCCTCTCTCCCGGGCCCGTTCCTCCGTCCTACTAACTGTCTTACGGTGCTTAACTGGCTGGTAGGCAGGTTAACTGGAAGGCTGGCTGGCTGTCTGCCTCCCTGACTGACTAAAGCGCGTTCTCCATTCAACGTCGCAATATATTCCGTCGTAGAGTTGCTTCAAGTGACTCAGTTAGTTAGACACTGAAGGCGTGCGAGTGGAGAACGTTCATCTGTCGGTCGCGCGCCCTTGTCTCCGTTCTCTCCTATTCGTGGTGTTCATCGTGAGAGTTCTCCGCTCTCGTGCATCTCAACAATCTTTCTCAGCACCTTAGCCAGTCAGTCAGCCTACCAACCAACCAGCCGTCCACATTAAACTGGGTAAACTTTGCCGGAGTCCCAACTGCCTCGTCCCCGCACCCCCTCCCCCCTGTTCCTCAGTCGGCCGACGACAAGTCGGCAGGCGAACGCGCTCAACCTTCGCCGTCACCGCCCGAGGGACCTGCGGCAGTCGGAATTGCCAAGCGGACTCACAAAGACTTTCGCGGCACGGATATGGAGACGGAAGATAGGAGCTAGTTTCTCTAGTGGCCCCGGCTTCGTCTCCACAATGACTCGATCCCATCGGGACCTTTAGACCTCTCCAACCACAGACGCTCCGCCGAGTCCAGGATAAGAGACTTGGTATAGATCATACGGGGGAAGTTGTCAAACGGAAAACCATTCCGCGTTCCACCTTCCATTCGTATGCAAACGCTTTTTCGCGATCCTCGTAGGCCTCCGTGACGACCAAGCATGGTCCCTCGGTAATTATCTCGTTGCCACAAGTTTCCGAGTGTCTTGACTTTCTCGAATTTTCGCAGGGCAGCGTCGTCGATCGGAGAGACCGTAGTAATTTCCATCGGTTCCGAGCTGACTGAGACAAGGAATGGGGCGCGGAAACGGTCAACGAGTTTTCGGTGGGCTCGTCGCGCCACGGCACGGCGTTGGCTGGTTCGTTGATGATCCGCTGGTCTTCCGTAGTCGACTGCGTGCCGTGTGTCTCGCCTGTAATCGAGCCTCTGCGTTGGGGAGACACATTTCTCGCTCGGGTCGTTTGCTCACGCTTTGCAACGGCTTCAGTGCCCACTCTTCTTCATGCCTGAGGTTCTCGCCCTTCATGTCCTCGACCTCATCCACACTGTTGTCCTGGCTCTTGTCGTCGCCGCCACCGCCGATGACGATCTCCGAAGCGGAGGGCCCGCCGACCCAGCATCGCAGGCTCCTCAAGACCCCCGAATCGCGGCCGGACGGCCTCGCTCACCTAGCAGAGCTGATGGGGTACTCTCACGGTAGGCGTCAATGTTATTGATCATCATTTTGGCGTCCATTCAATGCATTGTTGCTTTTTCTCCACATGGATTTTTCGACCCTCGACCCGGAATGTTCCGCTTTTTCGCCCCGGGTCCGCCCCCTTCCCCTTCAGCTTTTGTTTCTACGCGCCGTTCGGGCTCTGATGAGTATTGCATTCGAAATGGGGCCATGACCCTGATATGCATACATTCGTACATACATTTGGGTGAGGCAATCTGTGACGAAAAATCGAATGGCCAAGCGGGGAAGGAGTTCGGCCTCGAGCAGCCTGTTTCCAGATTTTCCTTCACCTGGCCGGAGCCAATTGAGAGCAAAAGCCAAACTCAATGGGACCTCTATCCGAGTCCTCACGGTGCGACCCCGGGGATTCGACACTTACGAGTGTTCTTTTGTCGGTCACCCCTTACCAACGATCGGTCGGTCCGGCGCCGACCGCTCCAACGACCGACTGCAAGGAGGGAGCTAGGCACGGACGAACAGGCGGTAAAAATTGTTCCGATTCTCGTTCGCCGACCGATAAAAACTACGCCGACCTTGACGCGTATTGAATCGGAGTCTCACAGGCGGTGCGCGCCAGGATCGACGCTCTCGGCGAGCGAGTGGCACGGCGGGTCGGAAGTGACACGTGTTCCGCTCCGCCGTTCAAACCAAGGAGGTTTATTCAAACTCCATTCAGTCTTTCACTCGTCCCGTCGTCCCACACCCGCTTCTGGTTCTGTTGTTCTTCTGGCGTCGATAACAACGTCTCAAACGGAGCTGTTGACGTTCCGTCAACATTTTACACAAACATTCGGAAGCGCGGGTCAAAACGTCACGTCGCAGGCATCGTCTCTCCGTGAGAACACACGAAAGACACGAACAACACCCGCTTGTGGGTAGGTACTTATGTATGTATAACCAACTAAGTCAAGCGACCGCAAGCGACTCGTCGAACCGGTTGAGAAGTGTCACATACCTCTATTGAAAATCACGGGCCGGCCGACGAGTCTGGGAAAGCTGAAGACGCTCAGATCGAACCGGATGTTCCCAGATTAAAGTGAATCTTTTTTCGTTGAGATCTCTGTTCGTAGCTCGTCTTACGGCTCCCTGTCACAGACGACGTGCTCATCCCGCCTGACCTGTTTGACAAATACGCACAGGTTCCTTTCAAAGAGTTGATCCGATAGATCGCACAGAACGAACAACGTGAGACGTCCAAGTGAAGGATGGAGCTCTTCACGGAGTTCAAATGAAACGTAACAGATCCTCCTTTTCATACCCGATACCAGAAGAAGAATTCCTACCGCCTGATCCGGTTATACTTTTGAATTTCGAAAGGCGATCCGTTGCGTAGCCTGGCATCGGTTCCCGAGAACAGTGTTTTCTGTATAGAACCCATTTCTCTTGGAAAAGGGAAAGAGCCGTGCGAGCGCTCAGGATTGTCCCTCGATGGGTCGAGGCATCGGTCCAGCGAAAGAAGGGTAGTTGATTCTTCCCACGAGAGCAGGGAGACAGAGTTAACAGAAGCTGAGCGAGATTAGGGACATGTTAGTCGTATGCGGACCGTCCCCTACGATTGTTAATCGTTGCTCCATTAGTTTGTATTTGATTGTCTGTAGTCGTTTTCCCGTTAGCTGCTCGGCTCCGATGATGATGTTTACTAGTTCATTGACTGACCCTCGTTGCGGATACCCTCACTCGGATTTCTTTTCGCTCTGTCGGGGCCGGCCTCCCCTTGTCGGCTCGCAAGTGTTCTACTCGCAGACCGACCCGGCTTCCTCCGACCGCTCTCTATTGAAAGGCAGGGTTCTGCTATCAATTTCAATAGTCGGGCTCGTTGTTTGGCCACTTTTTTTGTGCAATGGCGGAGCGAAGCAAGAGGAATTTTCGAGGAGAATTCGCAGCGAGAGGAAGAAGAAATGCAGTCGGGTGGGGCGGTGGAGTCGCGTCCCAGCACACAGACTAGATGAGCCGTGGCGAATCCGTTGAGAATATTTCACTGATTTGCAATTCGATTATGTCGTTTCCCCTCCCGACGAAATGACAACGAATGCAAGCGTGATCGTGTGTGGCTTCTGCAGCGGACATCACTCTCTGCAAATCGCACTCAGAGACAGGACACGATGGAAGAAAAACACCACGAACAGATGATGAATAACACATCCTGTTCTGCCTTTGGTCAGTCGGGGGACGAGATTTGAGCAGTTCGCAATCCTACTCTCCGCGGTCGGTTGCTCTGTGGTTCGTTCGTCTTCCGCTCCGTAAAGGTCCGTGGAACGCTGGCCGTCCCCCTGCCGTCACCCCCCTTCCATTCCTTTCCTCGTCCCTTCCGCAGACCAATGCGTGCACGCACAGATTACGCCGAAGAATACCCTTCGCAGGAGGAGGAGGAGGAGCCAGAAACCCGCAAGATGATGTGTAGTTTTGTTTCTCGCAGAAGGAATAGAGTCGTACCTTCGCGAGAAGACGCAACTCATGCTTTGAAGTGGGGCGAGGGGGAAGGATTGGAGGAACCGGAAAACCGACGCAGTAGGAGTCAGAACGGCAGCGAAACAGTACGTTGCACGGCGCCGGACGGATGATGCATTGAAGGATAAGCTCGAAGTGAAAACAGCGAGACGAAATGAAAATATGCAGCCACGACCTGCGCCGCCGCCTGGCTAGCAGCAGTCACAGCAACAGCGGCTCTACGCATCAATTTCTATCTGACAGCAGTAGTAGAGGAAAACGACATTTTTTTGCATCTCCGTTCGCTTCTGCTGTTCGTTCGACTCCCGACGGAGGATGAGAAGGAGTAAAAAAAATACTCTTCCCCTTAACCGCTCTCCGGGGGCTCCGACTGAGGCAAGCTCTTGCGCGGAAAAAAAAATACGACCGACGACCGATGGACGCACACAGAAACACTCCGTACGTAGCTACCAGATGAGGAAGAAAGGACGGACTGACTGACTGATAGATGGGCGAACAGACAGTCCGGGAGAGCGGTTGGTGCTCCAGTTTTCCCGGAGATTTGAGCCTTCGGTTCCATCCGAATCCCTCAGCACAGACTTCGCGCCGACTCACTGGCTGGCTGGTTGGGTGACTGACTGTCGCCCGCCCGTCTGCCCGCTTGCTCGACGGCCGACATAAACAGACATACACGGAAATCTTGCATACCCGTCCTTCTGCTCGTCTCGGTGGCAAGATACATTCACAGACGGGTAGACACGGACGCGTGCAGGGAAAGCGAGCTCTCTTTCCGATCATTCTTACGCAAAACAAGCAAACAAAACTGACTGTGTCCTTTAGAGACACCTGTTCAGGGACGGCGGCGGCAGCAGCAGCAGCAGCAACAACGGCCGCCGTTTTTGTGCTCCCAGACGTGATGTCCTGATGTTATGATGCGTTCATTCGATGTTCCACCCTGATAGAAGTTCTTTCCACCGCCTCACCCGCTCCCGAATGGCTAATAGAGGAAATGTTTTTTCCGGGAATAGACTGGGAGACCTCTCCTTGTATCATTTCTATTAGGTATACCTTGCCTCCTCCTCCGACCTGAAACCATAGGATCGGACCGGGGATTCTCATAACGGTCGGCAGCTCGAGTTATATTTTCCGCTTCAGACACATTAGCGATAAAAGCGTCTCGTCTTGCTGCGGTCGGATCATTTATTAACCTACACAGCATCGATAGGTGAGCCATTGCGTCATCCCATCTGGAATGATTGCTTAAGAATAGCAGTTCCTTCGGAGTTTCCGAGTCCTGAGTCCTCCGAAGTCTCGGAGGCCAACCAATGCGACGCCTTCTGCGGCTTATACCACAATCCGATGGCAGAAATGAAGCATGAATTGTGCGCAGAACTTCGCTATGTGTGCACGCAGGACAGGCTGGAAGGTATTGTTCCGGTGATTCTCTTTTTCACGGATTGCTCTTGTCGATGTCGGCCGCTGTCGCCGTTGTCGTCTGGCAGCTGCTTGTTCAGATGGACTCTGGTTGCCATGTGTGTGAGCCTTACAAGGAATGCTACTTAGCCTTGGAAGGATAGCGAGAGAATTTTTCTCAGGACGAGACAGGGAACAAAACTGCTGCTGGCTCTCCTGAAGGATGTCCGTCGAGCTAAGAAATCCTTTCAGCCGCCAAGCAAGAAGAGCTCAGGAGATGCGCCTCATCGGGTTTTAGTTGACCATGTCGTAGTCGCGCACTCGCTCGGCCCCTCGCCGGCTGGGTAGATGATCGGACCGGTCGACTGGCTGGTCGGCTTCCTTGCGTCGCTGCTTCAAGACGCGAACCCTTCGCTAATAGTGGAGCAGGGAGACAGATATCTCCTGCCCCGTCGTCGTCGTCGCTGCCGCTAACTGCAGTGGAAAAGTCAGCGATTCAGCGAGAGGGAGAAAGTGCGCGAGACAGGAATTGGAGCGGGAAGTTGGGGGAGAAGTACTACGGCTTCCCCGCGCGGCGCCACTCCCCGCTAATTTAGCGGCGGAGCAGGAAGTCGATTTACGAGAGGAAGTTCCTGTTAAGTGGACTATAGCAGCAGCGGCAGCACAGAAAGCAGCCAGACACACGCACAAAGTCATTGAGAGGGAGGTTGAGCCGGGAAAGTTGAAGTTCGTGATTCACAGTTGTTCATACATCCATTCATTCACTCTCTCCGATGCCGTCATCCGTTCATTGCCTATGCCTTCATGAGCGAACCCTGCACGAGTCTTTCTTCTCTTTTTTTTAGTAGTCGCCCGATAGCGCTGCTGGCACTGGTGCTAGTGAGTCTGCCGCCGTCGTTGGTAATGCTTCGCAGACATTCAACTCTCAGACAGTGGGCATGGAGCTTTCGCAAACAAGCGAACACAAACAGGAAATATGAAATAACAAACGCGCGCAATGTTCGTCTTGATGACTTGTACGCAGCCGAGAATTCGTCCTCAGCTCCTCAACTTCGTAGTCAGCGAGGATCTCTTCACAATGCGACGCCATTGAACTCGCTGCGAGTTCTCCGACGCTATATGGATGTTTCTCGAGACCAGATTCCCCACGGAGGGTATACTCCTG